GAGAAGGAGAAAAGCTATAGTGCTCCAAAGTCTTCTTCTAGTACTGGGAACATTTGAAGATTTACTATAGTAATTCTGCTGTTCCTGTATGCATTATTCTTGATACTACAYATAGGATTTTTAGTCATTATCCTATACATCTGCAAGACCATTATTTAACTAATGGCATTTGTTTCACATCTGCATTTTAGTTTCTTTTGGATCTAAAGAAAATGCTAAAAAACTGTCCAAGCAATCCAACCTATTAGGTATAGGGATAATCAGAATCGCCAAGGAACCAAAGAATTCCATTAATTTCTCACTGCCAAGCTTCATGCRCCAAAAGCATGCTCCTTTATTATGTATGGTTATCTTCCTAATGTCGTCAATAGAATGGCCAAAAAAAAATCAGGCAAAGAAAAACTGAGATGAGAACTAAGCAGTAAATTCTGATAGTCTTCAGATTCTGACATATGTCTAGAAAGGGATGTCTGAAAACCGTTGTGAGTAGTCAACACTCTCACAATTRAAATGAGCAGAGAAAAAAATCCAATGATGAAACCCTGTTCTTAGTTCTGTTCAGGTAAGATCATCCTTCAGTCTCTCCATCAAAAATAGGGACTGATAATACTTCAGCTAGTGCTTGGCACCTGTGCTGTCAATGCTCTCTTAATAGATCAGAACCCAAACAGACTAGAAGACAACATACATCTGTTTTTCATTTTAACCACAACCTAGATCAGAGARAATATTTTTATATTGAATGGCAGAGTTAGAAGGTAATAAACACAAAAAAATTATACTGCCACATTTACAAATGTATTTAGTCTTTGAGGTACACTAAACCATCAGATGCTCCATTAAAATATACTATTTAAGTGCTTCAAAGTTACAATAGAACCATTGAAATAAACAAGGTGACAAAAAAAGGACCCTTAATTTACACAATACACAGGAGAAATGGAGACTGAAAACTGCTGTTAGTTGTCTCTTTTCCTAAATCAGGCATTTTTTTCAAAAATGAAGACAAAGACCAGTATTTTATCTTCCTTAATAATTTAAAGGATGGCTTTCTTTCAGGGACCATCTGTCACTGAAATGAAAAAGAAATTTAAAAAAAATCAAAGGCAATGGGTCATTTTGGAAATTATCATCAATAATTAGTTAGGCTTTCTAGTGCACAGCTTGCTGTGAATACCACTTATTTTGCCTCATAGGTACTTCCAAACAACCTGTAAAATTCCCAGTGCATCTCAGGAACTTCATCTTCAGTGAACAATAGTGTTACATATACACATACAGGTGAAAAAATGAAGTTCTGRAAGATTGTATCACAGAAAGGACAAATCGGGTCTGTTATACTTTTGATAACATGTGAACACCTTAAAAGGTGATGGCAGCTGACTCCCCAAAACAGATGGGAAACACYGATGCCCAAGGGCATTTTGTAAAAGCTTCCTCTGGATATTTTTAACTGGTTATTGATATGAATACATGAGTGCTTATCTGAAAGTACAGAAGTCTGACAGTTAAACCTTATATACTCATGTCTGAAGAGAGACATCACACTAGCACTGAAATAGTTGCACAGAATTCCAAACTAGTCAGTTTTCAATCACTAACTGCAGGCTGATGTTCTGTGGCACTAGCAGCATGATCCAATACAACCTACAGAGATTCGGGGCTTGAAAGAGGAAGAATCAGAAGTAGAGACATAGACGAGTTAGAACATGATCCAGAAGAAAAGTGGGAAGCAGAAGAGATGCTCAGGAAAGTGTTAAGGTGTCACAGGACCTGCTGTGCATTTCTTTTTAGTAATAAAGTTAATGATAATAAAATCTTTCATATTAAAGGATCCACGTCACTTTTAGTACTGGCAGTCTTGGACAGTACCACGACCCTCCTGTCAGAGAAGTTCCACTGTATAGAGTAAATTAACATCTGTAGCTTGGAAGCACCATGAGAACTGTTTTCCTGAATGACTGCAAAACAGGCCCAAACTCCACATCAAAAAGCTATCCAAAACATCACTCTGTATTAAGGTCTGTATAGATCAGCATATCTACACAAGATGTTTAAAGGAACTAAACTCTTTTGGTGTGCCTTTTGTTGTTTTAGTTTCAGATTTTTCACTATTCATTCGTAACTGAGATTTTTTTTTTTTTAATCACAGTATGATCACACACTGAAGAATTAAGATTGGCCACAGCAATTTTCATGAAATTCACCACAAAGATTTTTTCCATGCAGTGAGCGCTCAGGGTCTGAGAAAACAATAACCATAAAAGCACAGCAGGGCAGTTATAATTAAAATCTTAAACTTTATAACAAGCCACCACAATCTCGGGGGGAAAAAAAAGAACAAAGTCAAAGTTATCCGCTTTTGGATCAATACAATCTCCCCAAAATAYGCTCCATTGTTAACTATTATTATCAGATACTAGTTTGGAAGTATACAGGAAAAGAACAACAAAATGCATTACAAGAAAAAACACAAAATTTAAGTGTGAAAAGTTGAATAGGTCATATTGATATATGACCTAATAGATGCATACAGCCCTGAAAAAGCAAACMTGGGTAGCTCTCCAATATATACCTGTCTTATCCTGACAGAAAAACCTTAATTTATATCTCTGGAAGAAAATGAGGACAACAGCCTATTGAGTACCTATGAGACTTCTGAGATATAATTCTCATCAAAAACAYCATGATCAAAAACCACCAGGATAAGTCCTTTCACCATATGAACTTCAAGTCACAGTACTGCTCATTACTCTGAATGAGTAGCTAGTTCAAAAGGCAGCCACCCATATAGCAAGCAAGCTAAAGGGGACATATGCATAGCAAAGAAGCATCTCAATTTCATTTCCTAGCATCAAGTTACATATTAATTCAGTAATTCTTTTAATTATGTAACCTCCACAGTATGAAAGCTGCAGAAAACTTGTTTTTCACTTGATTTGACCTATATGGTCAAATCATATGTTGACAGCCATTAATAGCTAGTAAAAGACAGATTTGTAAATAGCTTCAATAGAAATCATCCCTAGGTAGGGTATGAAAGAAGACACTTCCATTTCCACTTACACACCAGTGATTACAAGATGTCTGGTCTTCACAGCACAGAAAAGCTAAATCTTAAAAGCAAAACACAAACATAAACCCATACTCCTGAAAACAAGTATTAATATGTAGGCAAGGACTTCAAAAGGAGTGATTCTTAATCCCAGTGAATCATTTACTCTACCATTTAGTAGTTTGTTACATGCACCTGTAGCATTGCATATACAGTACTCCTGGGAAAATGTGCTTTATGTATAGAGGAGATAGGAAGAGAAAGGGGAGGAGAAGAAAGTATGCACTTCTGGAAGAAGTAGCAGATGARCAAGTCTGTTTGCTTTCTCAGTTTAAGACACTGATTTGAGATGATACAAGAATAACAAGATGCTACATTTGACAAATTGAGGCAAATTATTTATTCACTCGTATTTGATCTTAAATATTTTGACTCTTCTCTTTTTTAATGACAGATTACTAACTTCTGTCTACAGTAAAATCACTGAGGACAGAAGAACTGCTACACACGGGTATTTGTCAACATGCCATCATCTGCATATTCAGTTACTGATTCCCAGTCAAATCATCTATTAACTTTACATCTAAACTTGTCTTGTTGACACAAGAGGCCTGTTTTAGCCTACATAAAGAATTCAATTTTCCAGCGTGAGATGAAGAAATAAGGACAATCTTTTCCTTAACTATTTGTGAGCAGCTCACCCATCTGCTGTAAAGAGCCATCCCCTACTGCATAGGCCAAATAGTTTCCTCCACTGCCAATAATGTTGAATCACTTCAAAACATAATTAAAAAGTATTTTGAACACAAAATTACCATGTAAATAACAGCAGATTAAAGAAAGCTCTCCACCAAATCTGCAAAAATGCAACTGGCTCACTTCCCTCACATACCATTATGTGCTTTCTTGCTCCAGTSTTTCAACTGAAATCAATATTGCTTCAGGTCTCCTGATTGTTTTAAAGGGTAAAAAGAAAAAGTCACCCTTTTATGTTAGAGAAATTTACTTTCTAGCAGTTCGGGGTCACAAGCACGCTTTATAGGTCACTCTTTGAAAACATATTTGCTGCAAGGAGCACATCTGGTTATTTCCAAAAGTCAAACTTAAATGACAATTCTGTTTTGTTGCCCAAAATTCTATCCATGGATTTCCCCCCCCCCTTCCCCCCCCCCACACACACTCTTAACCCACACTCCTTTATTATTTAAAAACTTTTGGTCATTTTCAATAAAGAAAAATTCACACTGAGACAGGACATTCTGTGCTTTTGCCACTGTAGACAAATGTTTTTGACAAGCAACAACTCTGATCAAACAGTTCAGTTTTCCTTTTCTTCTGTGCTGAGGAACTTAAAATGCTCACTGTGAAGAGTAATATTAGCAAGCAGATTATACTCCTATTCATATACATTACTTTCCATATAGCCACAAGCCTGGAAATGACAGGAACTCCAGAGAAAGAATGGCAAGCCTGTGAGGGGACTTGAATGGTCAGTGGAAAGATAATGAACTCAGCAATTCAAAAATAATCAAATGGGCATATCACTATCTCCACACTGACTAATTCTGGAGTGGAAACCTGGAAGCACAACTATAACAGAAAATAAAGTACATGGCTTCAGTAAAGGGTGTTTTTTTTTTTTTTTTTTTTTTTCAAACAGCAAGTAAATTAAGTCCACAGCTTCAGATGAAGCACTGCACTAACACAGCCAGACTGAACAAATTAATACAAGTGCTGTCTCTTCCTTGGACTAGTCTTACTTAACAATCTGTCTCCTTCACTAGTCTCATATGATCTTCCAGATGAGCTCATCACCAACCTCATTCTGCTATATTCCCTTCAGAAGCACATTTATACCCTAAACATTCACATGTGGGTACCTTTCCACATTTCTATAAGATAAAGAATAGAGATGTTCTAAGCACAACTAGCAATAAGTACCTACTTGTGTATGCAAATTGAAGCTATGTCCTTGAGGCAGAGAGAGAAAGGTGACCACTTCTGAATCTGCACTMTAAACTCCTCAGGTGATATTGCAAGTAAAATCTAGAATTATGAAACCACAGTGGCCTAGAGGAAGGAAATAGGCTTGAGTGAATCTTTAGTTTTTCATTTTCATTATTCTCTTTCAATAAGGTCAAAGGGTAAAACCCACTTTTAGTGATATAAAGGCCTTCAGAGTGACATTTGCATATTGGACAGCAGTAAGATTTCATTCTGATATTTTTCTTTCAGACCATTTGAGGTATTTCAATTTCTCTTTTTTTGTGATTTCAGGAGATAATATTTAAAAATAMTTTTTTGTAAATTCTATAATGTGTTGTTTTTGTTCAAAGTAATATTATTTCTTCTTATTAAAGGAAACTTATCAGTTAAATCGGGTTCTGAATGCTTGCTGTGTAATTCAGTCAGTGAATTATAACACATACAATGACTTCTATTATTACTTTATTATACTTTAATGTTTAACTTGGTCAGAGAATGAGCTTGACTATGTTGTTATATGAGAATTAAAATTGTTCACATGCTCTGYACAACACTAAGGATTTGAGGGAATTTTCGCACATTGAATATAGCTAGGTTACTGCCAGCCCCAAAAGACAGTTGTGTATACAGACATCTGCTTCTATTTCACTCTGGAGGTTTCTGCAATAGAAGAGAACACACATCTGGAGGTGGAGGGAAGCTAAATTATCACAAATACTCTGCGAGTTCAAGTATTATAATCTCCTTTAGTCCATCTTTTAAAATGAAATCCTCTCCAGCACAAAAAAATAGTACAAAATTGATAAATCTGCTCTAGTTAAACCTCACCTTTGATGTTTGTAGCTGGACTTTGTAAGATCCGTTTTGCTGAAAGYGGAAAGAAATGTCAAAGTTTAGATCAAGTAAATTCTGAATTTATAAAACATAGGTAAATAAATCACACACACATCAGAGCTCAAGCTGTTTTTTTTTTTTTTTTTTGAAGTCTTGGTGATTCCTTGGTCAACATTAGGGCACTGTTCCCTCTGTACTTAATGATGATGACATTAGTTTTGATCATTTTCTTCCTTTTTGGCATCCTGCACAGAGCAGTTCTGGTCTATTTTATCAATTATTAGCTAATATCAGCTTAAGGCATGTTATTATCTGTTTGCCTCATCTTTCACATACTGCCAGTCATCAGCTTTTCACTTGTCCCTCTCCTCCCCCCATCCCCACCTCAAAACACAACTCAAAAAAAACTATAGACAAGCTTAACTTTCTTGAAAGATGTTTTTTCAAGAGAGCAGCTTGTTGGTTTTGTGAAGAGATATTAAAGACTACTAATATTAGCCTGCCTCTCATCTAGATTGGCACATAGTAACACACACCACTTTTCTCCAGTATATAAATGGCATAGCTGTGTCATAGCCCTGTAGCATCCAGCATTAAACTATTTACACCCAAAACTACAAGAATACAGCTATTCCCAAATTTTGACCATTTCTGGGCATTCTGGCCAAATGTTTGCCAATTCTGCACTGTGTTCTACTGAGTTTAACGTGTTCAGAACTCAGTTTTCTTCTTTTCCTAACTCATACATTACCATTTACATGGGCTTATCTTCTCTATAAGCACAGATTTCTGCAGTGCAAGTGAAAACATTCAGAATGTCTCCAATATACTTTTTACATAACTATGCCTCTGTWCTATATCATCTTAGAGAGAACCTCAATTAATTTATCTTGTATGCTTAGATTTTTGTAACATTTCTCTTCCAACCCACTGAAATACTTTACAAGTTCATTAAAACATACCCATAATAATTTTGGAGCTGGTGGACCTAAYAGAAGTCATTTAAGTGATTTGCTGAAGATCAGGACTAGAAAAAAACTTGGAGATTTAACAGTTTAATCTCTCTCAAATTACTGTCTCAACAGCCTGTTATTCTCTCAAGTGAAATGCACTATACAAATTAATTCCCATAATACATAGATTTTTCATCAGCTATTGACACAATGCTTAACACTACCATTTATTTCACTATACTCTAAGCAAGTTAATTGGAAAGAAATAACATTTAGCTCTTAATAGCTATGAATCCTCAACATCTTTTCCTTCTAGCCTTGTATAAAAACTAATATTTAGGCTGAGATCTTTTTTCCTCCAAAGGTTCCGAAACTCTCAGGAAATAGAATTTCACCTAAGACAAGAACCTAACTTTTAGAAGTTCCTTTCCTGTGGAAAGAATTACTACTTTAATCATGATCTTTCCCGAATCCCAGTCTTATGAAAGTGTCTTCAGATATGAAATATTTAAAAAAAACAACAATTTCTATCCCTTTTACTCCAGATGCAGAACAATGCTTCTCTCCTTTAGTAGTAAGGCAGGRTAAGTTTATGTTCCTTTATATACATAATATATTGCACCCTTCACACCTCACTTCACTAAAAATCACATTGCACCTTGTTTATATGGTTTCCTGAAAGAAGGCACTATCAGTGCTGTCAAGATAAATGTTTCCAATGTTAAAATATCAAAATGTTTTTACTGCAATAGGAGAATTAGCACTGCCTTAAAACAAGGGCTCCTCCATAGATTCCTATCCTGTATTACTTTGTATTCTAATGCCAAATCTTTGAACCAGCCACTTTCACTTTGTTTACCAGATTAAGAACAACATCTGCCTATCAGCTTCAGAGAATTAAGTCCTTGCTTTCAGGTAACTGGTTATTGGTTCTGTAACRCGCTGATACATTAAATCTGAAGCATTATAATGAATTCTATGAAGCTGCCTATATCAGAATGACAGCTTTTTTTTATACTGTATTTGTACTTGAGTCATTTGCAAGTCAATAGGAAAAAAAATTCAAAAAGGAAGTGTGCTGTACATTAGGTTACCCTTTTTCTCATTAATGCCAGAAATTAATTGCAGCATGCACAAGCATAACTCAAGACAGCTCCACTTCAACTGCAGTTAGTGACTAATGGAATACAAAGATTTCTAGAAGCTTAATAGAAAGCTTTTAAGGGACTCTGACTCGCATTAAGAGCTCATCCATAGATGAAGTAAACACTCAAAGGCTGCAAAAACAAAGAAATATGTTGAGCAACTTGGAAGCTACTTCCTTTCCTATTGCTGTAGTACTTGAATACTCACGATCACCTCTACATGCAAATTATATAGTAATATGTAATACTATATGTAATTCTCATATTACTATATGTAATTATATAGTAATAGTACCTAAGAGTCACAAATGCACCATGAAACAACAGCTGTGAGCTCCAAAGTCAGCTTTCCATTCAAAGGTTCCTCAGTAAGAATTATTTGTGACGAGGCAATTTCCTGGTGTCCAAAACTAGTACTTTATTATATCGTCTCTTACTTAGAAACTCATTCCCTAACTCCAGCTTTCTATTGTAGAAGAGTTACAGAAGTTTAGTGTCTTTGAAATTAATGCTATTGACAAGTTCAGAAACTAGAGAGAGGTTGGAGGCAGAGATTTACAGTGAAGTGGGCATAACATGGTTGTCCAAGTTTAATTTCCTTAGCAAAGATCAACTGCTAAAAATGCTTTTCTTCAGTTACTTCACCTAGTCCCCTGTAGAAATATAATAGAAGTATAATAGATGTGTTATCTCTATTCCAACCCAGAAAWGGTAGTGTTAAAAAAATGCCTACTTTTCCACCTAACTTCTGTAACTAAAGCTCTTTTCCATTTTGTACCTGGATACACAAACCTGAAAGACCAGCCTGGCAGGCCTTTACCTCATTCACTGTTATTTTCTGGAGCACCACCTTGCACACGACATGAACTCCATGCAACTTGATCTGAAATAATCAATTACCTGTTTTAGAGGAGAAAAAGTGAGACCTGCTTACAAGTACTTCAAGCTTCTGATTAGTAAACTTGTACTGAAACACAAAAGGCTTTGGAGTAATCCATAGCAAAGTGAAGAACAAGGAGGGAGCAGCTGGAAGTCTGTATCCTGTTGTGATCCCAAAATATTTAAGGCACTTGACCCTCCAGGCTTATTTTATTTCTCATCTTTCATTCATTTTTAGAAAGCCCTAAATCTCTYTCATGCCCTGAGAGCAACACTAGCATAAGAATCAATTTAAAAGTATGAGTACTGTACCTGAACATTAGTAATTTGCACAGCATCATCAAATTTTATCCTCAACAATAAGTCTAAAGGATTGACTTGGTCAAGGATGTTAATCCACAACAATATGCAGTGATGGGCTTGAAGACAAAAAGTGCCAGTAARTGTAGCTGACTTGGTTACACTGATCTGTCTTACAAACAGTAAAATAGAAGGTAACAATGTAGATTGGGTGTATTACAAATATACTACTGCTTGGCTTGAATGAATGATGGAACAATGCAAATAATCACTTAAAAGATCAATTAATTATGCTTTGAAAACAATTCCAATCCAAATCATTTATGCYGTGACATGGGCATTCTTAAACAACAATGAAGTACATGGCCCATTGGAGAGTATAAGAGTGGGAGAGAATTTGGCAACTTGAACCTCCAATTCTGAGGGAAAATGGCCACATTTCCATAGCAAAATCAATTAATTATGCCACAACTAACAAGTTGATTACTGGAAATGCTAGTCTTGGCTAATTTTTATTACTATTTCATATTCCAGTTTCTAGTAACTTCAGAGAAAAGAGGGGGAAAAAAAGTAAAAGGAAAAAAAAAAAAGTTTGCCTGTCTGCTGCATATTTGATGCCTAATACTAATTTCCCAATTAAATGATATTCCAGGCAAGGAAGTACAATAATGTATCAGCAACCTTTCTGATGGCTTTGTTGTGAAAATACAGATATGTGGTAGGGGGATTTCCCAGAATTAGGGAGAATGTTACCTAAAGTAACTCTGTACAATTTCATCATTGTATYTAGATATTCAAGTCCAGCAAAAGCACACGTAGAACACAGAAACCATCTCAGTAACATGGTGAAACTTAAGACAACCACCTCATGATTTTTTTTTCAGGGATTTTTTTCCATTTTCTTTTTACCTCCATGAGTAGCTCTAAGCACTTTCCTGCCATTATCAACAGGAACAGCTAAGTGGAGATGGTGGAACACGAAGATCACCAATCCTAACTCCTTAAACTTCTACTAAATTTCATTACTCAGCACTAAGTCATAGTTATCCATTTCTAYATATGATCCATGTACTCTGTCCTGTTTTTTTCCAAATAATAAGAAAGCAGATATTGAAAAATATTCACTCTTCACTCTTTTAAGCAGTGCCACTAAACAACCCCAAAACAAGTTATTAGCACACCTAATTCAATTATTTAGTTTCCTTATCATTTAAGGATTTCCTGCAAGGAAAAGCGAATAAGAGACACARTTTTACATTCGAGAGGAAATCTATGCTTTATAACATAAGCATCTTCAATGTCTTTACTTCTTTAGGGTCTTTAAAGAAAGCTTGACCAGGTTTTCATGCTGATTGTCTCCACAAAAATAATGAAACTGCAAACTTAAACCCATGCTTCCTCTATGAGTATCATAAASTCACACAAAGACTTTCAACTTTACAGGCTTAGAATTCCATATTTAAAAATAGTAAAAACTTCGACTGAAACAGAATTCATGTATATCCATATGTATATATATATATCTCATGTATATCACATAACTTTTAGCAGTGACACCCTTTTGTCTCATTTTATTTACTGACAACAGAAAGGAGCTAGGTGAGAGTGTCTCTAGCCCAACAGTGTTCCATGGTCGTTAAATAACTGCCTGAAACTCTCCCGGTGGGGACACCCTCCCCACCTCTCCAGTACCCCCCAGTTTTCYTGACTCACCCAAGGGAACCTTTGCGCTCCCAGGGCTGGACCGAACCGGGGC